AGCAACTTTTTTTTTCTAATCTCATTCCAATGAGGAGGAAGGAAAATGCTTGTGGTGAAATGTGAAATCGAGGTGCATTAAAATAAGGAAATAACAGGAGAAACAGTAGCTGCGTGAATCCTAAGGCATGAAATCAAGGCATTGTTTCTTTAATGATAGCAAGGTGTAGAGCTGGATGAACACAGCAGACCAAGCAGCATCAGAGGAGCAGGAAGGCTGACGTTTCGGGCCTAGATCCTTCTTCAGAAATGGGGGAGGGGATTCGCTCCCCTGATGCTGCTTGGCCTGCTGTGTTCATTCAGCTCTACACCTTGTTATCATTGGTTCTTTAATGCTGGCTGTATACTGACTGTATATATGTAACTAAACAGGGTTAGGGTGTGGCTTGTTTATATTGCCGCTCTTGAGTTTACACTGAAAGGAGTTCAATAAGAGTAAAACTGAACAAGCTGTAAAACAGGTGAGTCACTCAGACCTGTCCACCCTTATCCTGCTTAAAAGATAATGTTAAAATAAGGGCTCGACTCTCAAGATCCAAATCCACACTGTCATTGATTTCTGAGTACTGTGATAACAGATGGCCTGGCCACTGTTATTTGAACACTAAACATGACATACCTCTAGATTACAGGCAGCAACTGCTTAATGACATTGCGGGTTTATTTCCAGCAATAGTTCAAGAAGGCAGCTCATCACCACCTTCGCCAGGACAGCTAGAGACGGGCAATAAGTACTGGCTAGCCAGAAATACCCACATCCCATGAATGAATGAAATAAATGAATTTACAACAGCAGTCTGAAGCTGGTCACTACCTTCAGTTTATGTTTCCTCGAACCAGTCAGAGTACAGACGCAGTGTTACAGGGAGATAACAGCTTTCTGACTGTACTGAAACTGCAGAGTCAAACTGACACTGATTTTCAGAGAGTGGCGGGGAGGAGACAGAGAGAGATTGTGGTAGTTAATTATTAGTAATCTGCCACATTTCGAAAGGAGTGGCAGTAGTCAGATATTAAAATTACTGCCCTTTGAACAATTACTGTCCTGTAACCCTCAACATCTGTCAGCTTGTCAAACACCAATCTTCTTGACTGCTTCTGGTTGCCAGGTAGCGCAGGGGAGGAAACCAACAGTCTTGGAAACTTTATAAAACTTTTGCGGTGATCCGAATGCCATGCTTGATGCAGGCTGGAAATCATCCTTAACTGAGACTTTCCACACCGATACAGCCTCAAATATCAACATGCACCAATGCAGTTACATTGGCCCTTGGTTTCTTACCGGGCAATGTAAGGTGCAGGAAAGGGCCATGAGAATATGCCACTTGACTTTTCAAGTGCCAACAACTATCATGCCAACAACTATCCATGGCATAGTCTAAACACCAATGATTTAGTAAGAACATAAAAAGTAATAGCAGAAGTCGGCCATTCAGGCCCCTCGAGCCAGTAATGCCATTCTGTAAAATAATTTCTGATCTCCTCTTTAGTGTCAGCTCCTCTTTACCCTCAGCTCCACGATTGTTCAAAAGTCATCTACTTCCTCTTTAATTATTTTCAGTGATCTAGCCTCCACAACTCTCTGGGGATAGACAATTCCAGACCATCAGTATCCTCTAGAAGAAATTCCTTCACATCTCAGTTTTAAATGAGTGCCCCCTTATTCTGTAACCATGCCCCCTAGTTCGAGACTAACCCATTAGTGGAAACATCTTCTCAACATCTATCCTGTCAAGGGTCCTTAGAATCTTGTATGTTTCAGTAAGATCACCTCTCATTTTTCCAAACCCTAACGAATAAAGGCCTAACCTGTTTAGCTGTTCTTGATTAGTCAACCCTTTCATCTCTGGAATCAACCGAGTGAATCGCATCTGAACAGCTCCCAATGGTGACCAAACCATATCTGTTAACAGTACTCCAGCCTTACAAACATCCTGCACATTTGTAATAAGAGTTCCTTATTTTTAAACTCCAAGCCCCAAGCAGTAAGGGGCAAAATTCCATTTGCTATCTTAATCACTTGCTGCCCCCGCACACTAACTTTTTGTGTTTCATGCACAAGAACATGAAGATTCCTCTGTGCTGCATTTTTTGGGAACTTTTGCCACTAAATAATAGACTGTCTTTTGATTCTTCTGACCAAAGTGTATCACTTCAGTTTTTTCACCTTAAGCTCCATTTGCTAAGTTCTTGCCCACTCATTCAAACTATCTATATGCCCTTGCAGATTCATATGTCCTCATCACAATATGCCCTCCCATCACCTATCATCAGCAAGCTTCGCAATGTTACATTCTGCCCCGTCCTTCATGTCCTTACTATTGGAGATTAATAATTGAGATTTTAGGACTGATATTTGTGACACTCCACTTGTTACACCTTTCCAGCTTGTAAAAGACCCATTGAACCTGATTCTGTCTTCTGATGTGTTAACCAATCCTCAATCCATGATAAATATATTACCCCTAATACTGTGAGCTCCTATCTTATACAAAGCCTTGTATGCGGTACCTTATCGAATGCCTTTGGGAAGTCCAAAGACACAACATTTTACTGGTTCCACTTTTTTTAAAATTCTGCTTGTTATATGCTCAAAGAATTTGAGCAAATTTGTCAAATATGACTTGCCTTTCACAAAACCATGTTAACTCTGTTTGACTGTAATAAGCTTTTCTAAATGTTCTGCTATTTCTCCCTTAATCATAGACACCAGCATTTTCCCCTAAAACAGAATAAAGAATAACTGGCCTACAGTTTACTGCTTTCTGTTTCTATCCCTTCTTGAATGGGAGCAATGCATGAATGATTTTCCAATCCACTTGATTATCTGACAAAATACTTTGCAAGAAATAGAGCCATTGAGTCATACAGCATGGGAACAGACCCTTTAGTTGAAACAGTCCATGCCAACCAAACTAAACCAGTCCCACCTGCCTGCACATGGCCCGTATCCCTCCAAACATTTCTTATTCATGCACTTATCCAAATATCTTTTGGATGTTGTAATGTACCCACATCCACCACTTCCTCGGGAGGATCATTCCATTCACAGATAGTAGGAACTGCCGATGCTGGAGAATCTGAGATAACAAGGTGTAGAGCTGGATGAACACAATAGGCCAAGCAGCTCAGAGGAGCCAAAAAGCTGACGTTTCGGGTCTAGACCCCTCTTCAGGAATGGGGGAGGGGAAGGGGATTCTGAAATAAAGAGAGAGCTATTTTGCTTGGGAACCCTGCAGCCTAATGGTATCAATGTGGACTTCACCAGCTTCAAGATCTCCCCTGCCCCGACCGCATCCCAAAACCAGCCCAGCTCGTCTCCGCCTCCCTAACCTGTCCTTCCTCCCACCTATCCACTCCTCCCATCTCAAGCCCCACCCCCATCTCCTACCTACCAGCCTCATCCCACCCCCTTGACCTGTCCGTCCTCCCTGGACTGACCTATCCCCTCCCTAACTCCCCACCTACACTCACCTTTACTGGCTCCAACCCTGCCTCTTCGACCTGTCTGTCTCCTCTCCACCCATCTCCTCCTTTATCCATCTTCTATCCCCATCCCCCTCTCTCCCTATTTATTTCAGAATCCCCTTCCCTTTCCTGCTCCTCTGATGCTGCTTGGCCTGCTGTATTCATCCAGCTCTACACCTTGTTATATCATTCCATACACATGCCACTCTCTGTGTAAAAAAGCTGCCCCTCATGTATTTTTAAAATCTTTCTCTTCTCAACTTAAAAATATGGCCCCTACTCTTGAAATCTCCTACTCTAGGGAAAAGACACCTGCCTTTCACCTTATCTATACCTCTCATGATTACAAAAGCCTCCATGGGGTCACCCCACAACATCCTACAGTTCAGTGAAAAATGTCCCAGCCTATCCAGCCTCTTCTTATAACTCAAACCCTCCATTCCTGCAACATCTTAATCTCTTCTGAACACTCTCCAGCTTAATAATATCCTTCCTGTAACAACATGACCAGAACTGGACACAGCACTCCAGAAGAGGCCTCACCAACATTCTGTACAACCTCAGCATAACGTCTCAACTCCTACACTCAAAGGTCTGAGCAATGAAGGGAAGCATGTTAAATGCCTTCTTAACCATCCTATCTACCTGTTACGCAAACTTCAAAGAATTATATACCTGAACCCCTAGGTCTCTCTGTTCTACAACACTATCCAAGGCCCTACTTTCAATTGTGTAAGTTCTGCTTTTGTTTGTTTTACCAAAGTGCAATACTTCGCATTTATCCAAATTTATCTCCATCTGCTACCCTTTAAACATTGATCCAATTGATCAAGATCTCTTTGTAACCATAGATAGCATTCTTCACTGTCCACTGTACCACCAATCTTGGTGTTATCCACAAACTTACTAACCATGCCTTCTATATTTTCATCTAAATCATTTATATAAATGACAAATAAAAGTGGACCCAATACCGATCCCTGTGGCACACTGCTGGTCACAGGCCCCCAGTCCGAAAAACAACCCTCCACCACTACCTACTATCTCCTGCTGTTAAGCCAATTTTGTATCCAATTGGCAGACTCACCCTGAAACCCATGTGATCTAACTTTCCTAATTAATCTTCCATAATATCTTGCTGGATCATTGCCCCTCCAAAGTTTAATTACATTCCAAACCCATTGAAACTTCAATTTTCTAGACTGGACATTGGCAACATTATGGGGAGCGAAAGCCTCATCAAGGTTCTCACACAATTATCTCTGATTTGTATAGCTTTTAGCTATTTTCCTTAGTTTTTCAGCCAACTTTATTATGATTAAGTATTCAATATTTCAATTTTCTTTGTCAAAACTGCATTAGGGAAGATACTAGCATATCCATCCCTCGCACATAATAAATCATTACATGTTTCCTGCTCAACAGACTCTGACTGACCTGCTGAACATTTCCAGCATCCCCTGTTTGCATCGAGACAAGTGTAATTAAAAAGAATGGTTGAATAAATCCATATTAGCAAGACATTGAGCTTACCTGATGCAGATCCGGAAATTCCTTTCAAGGATCCCAAAGCAGTGGTTAAGATGACAAATGCAGAAACCCCCTTAACACTGAGGGAGGGGTGTTAAATGGCAAATGAAGTTAATCCTGATGCTCTATGACTGCATGAAGATTGGGCCAGAAGTAATTTAATTCGGAGACCCCATGAGGGCTTTGTCGCTTGTACTTTTGGTGGCAGAAGTTCGATTAGCTGTAGTTCTATGTTAAACAGAGAAGAGCTAGTTATTTTGCATGCACAGTGCTTTACATGAACATTTGACTAGTTCACGAACACTGCAGTAGCTGTTAAGAATCACTGCACTGGACACCGAGCCTCTTGTGTATAGTCACTGAACACCACAGAAGGAAGTTTCTTCAATAAATATAAATCAGTGCAGGAAATAGCTGATTAACAATGAAAGGGATGTGCTGATTGCCTAAAGTGTACTTAGGATGACTTAACTATTCAAATCTTTACAGTCGCAGTCCTACAAATAGTTAATTGCTAACCAGCTCCTTATAACAACAGCAAAACCCGTCCTACAGGTTAGTCTGTTTGTAAAGAAAAATAAATAGGTGTCAGTTTTCTAATAAAAAGTACATTTGCTCCTTTAGCTGGGAACCTTAGAGAGATAGACACCTGTTTTCAGACTTGCTACGTTCCCTACAACAACAATGAGCCCACGTCCACTCCTGTCCCAAAGCTGTTGACCCTGGCAGGGCAGCTACCTCTCTGAGATGACAGTTAATGGGCTTTTCTTCATCGTGTTCCCTGTCCCAGACACTGCGCTGCCCTCACCTTGGGAGTGAAAAGGCTTGTGTCCTAACGTTACTGAAGGAATCCGCCTGAGCAAATATTATAGAAAGTTACATAGAATATTATTGAACCCATTCTGATGAAGGGTCACTGGACTTGAAATATTAACTCTGATACTCTGATTTCTCTTCATTGATGCTGCCAGACCTGCTAAGTTTTTCCAGCAATCTCTGCTTTTGCTTCAGATTTTCAGCATCTGCAGTTTTTTTGTGTTATTTTGCTCAGCTTGATGGATATCACTTACAGATCACTGGATAACAGTAATCCCAGCTCATTTGACAAAGTTTCCAGCTCATTTTTTTTCCTTTATTCATTCACGGGATGAGGGCATCGTTGGCTTTACCAGCATTTATTGCCCATCCCTAATTACCCAGAGGGCAGTTCAGAGTCAACCACATTACTGTGGGTCTGGAGTCACATGTAGGCCAGATTAGGTAAGGATAGCAGTTTCCTTCCTTAAAGGACTTTAGTGAACCAGATGGGTTTTTCTGACAATCGATAATGGATTCATGGTCATCATTAGATTCTTAATTCAAGATATATTTTAGTGAATTCAAATTCCACCGTCTGCCCACCTGCCTGCCATGTGGTGGGATTTGAACCTGTGTCCCCAAAATGTCATCTGGGTCTCTGAATTAACTGCCCAGTAATAAGACCACTAGGCCATTGCCTCCCCCTGAATTAGAAAGCCCTCCAAGCTCACTGGATTACACTCGCAGCTCATTGGATAACAGTCCCATCTCATTGGACATCTCTTACAGCAGATCAGACAAAGCTCCCAGCTCATTGGACAGCCCTCCCACTTGTTTCATTATGCTCACTGCTGATTGGATGTACTGCATTTTGATTTCTAAAAGGCAGTTGATAAATTGCCACATCAAAGGTTATTGTGGAAATATCAGCTCACGTTGTAGGTGGTAGCATATTGGTACTGATAAAAGATTAACTCCCAAGCTAGAAATTGAGAGTAGACATGAATGGTTCATTTTCTAGTTGGTATAATGTTGTGTATTACACTGAGGATTCTCAGTATTTTGCAATTTTTCGAGAATTACTTGAATGAAGGTACTGAGGTTGTTTGCTAATTTCCCAGATGACAGAGATACTTAGGAATGTAAGTTGTTAAGAGGACATAATCATAGAATCATAGAATCCCTACAGTGTGGAATCAGTCCCTTCTGCCCAAAAAATCCACACCGACCCTTAGAGCATCCCACCCACATCCATCCCCCTATAAGAAAGACACAAAGCAATTGCTTTTTCAACAATCTTCAGCCAGAAGTGTCCAGTGGATGATCCATCTCGGCTACTTCTAGTGGTCCCCAGCATCCCAGTCTTCAGCCAATTCGATTCGCTCCACGTGATATCAAGAAACGGTTGGAGATATTGGCTAGTACAAAGGCTACAGGCCCTGACAACATTCCAGCAATAGTACGGAAAACCTGTGCTCTAAAAATTGCCTTGCCTCTAGCCAAGCTGTTCCAGTCCAGTTACAATACTGGTATCTACCTGATAATGTGGAAAATTGCCCAGGTATGTCCTGGACATAAAAAGCAGAACAAATCCAACCTGACCAATTACCGCCCCATCAGTCTACTCTTGACCATCAGTAAAGTGATGGAAGGTGTCAGTAACAGCGCTATCAAGCAGCACCTGCTCAGCAATAACCTGGTCAGTGACGCCCAGTTTGGGTTCCGCCAGGGTCACTCAGCTCCTGACCTCATTACAGCCTTGGTTCAAACATCGATAAAAGAGCTGAATTCCAGAGGGGAGGTGAGAGTGACAGCCCTTGACATCAAGGCTGCATTCAACCGAGTGTGGCATCAAGGAGGCCTAGCAAAACTGGAATCAATGGGAATCAGGGAATAAACTCTCTCAACACATCAGAAAGAAATGCCCTCGAAAGACTGAAAAAGAACCGGAAGATAATAATCATATGGCAAACAAAGACCGCTTGTCAGTTATAATGAATAAATTGGACTCGATTGGAAAAGCACAAAAATTACTTGCAGATACAAGCAATTACCAAGAGAGGGAGTCGGACCCCACACCACAGACAGAGAACAGGCTCACCAATGCATTAAAGAAATTACAATGGGCAGGCGATGGATCAAACACAGCTCTCCCCCCCACCCCGCCCAACCTCACCCCACCCCCGCCACCCCGATTCTACAGACTCCCTAAAGTACACAAACCGGACAACCCCCTCAGACTCATAGTTTCCCTGCTGGGAACACCGACACACAGGCTAACCAAGGAGTTACAGCAAAGACCGAAACACCTCACCAACGGATTGACCCACCCCCATACACTCAGCACAGGAATTCCTGGACAACATCAGATACATAAAAACCCACAAGGAGGAAACAATGATCTCCTTCAACATTACAGCACTATTCACCTCTATCTACATGACACTAGCAAAGGAGACACTGGCCACATTACTAGACAGTCTGAAAACACATACCCCCAATGAAACCATCTGCAAGGACAATGTGCTAAGATTACCTGACCTATGCCTTACCATGCACTCCATCTTCAACAGCAAGTATATGAACAAATCAATGGGACACCCATGGGTTCACCCATCTTGGGGTACATCGTGGAAGCTGTTATGCAAAGACTTGAAAGCACAGCTCCCCCACCCCCAGATCCAGCCTAAACTATGGGTTAGATACGTGGACGATACTGTTGTGATCATTAAACGAGCAAAGTTAGAAGAAACACAACACCTTATTAACAGCCTATTCACCGGGATCAAGTTCACCAGGGAAGAAGAGAACAACAATCAACTCCCGTTTCTAGGCACAATGCTGTAACGAATGAACAACGATGAATTCTTTACTGGCGTATATAGAAAGACTACACACACAGACCAAATCCTGAATTGCAACAGTAACCACCCCAGCGTCCACAAATTGAGCTGTGTCAAGACTCTATTAAAATGAGTGATAACACACTGCAATACCTTGGAGCTGCACAAAAATAAAGAGGAACACCTATACAAAGTCTTTACAAACAATGGGTATCCCAACAGCTTCATCCACTGCTGCCTGGCAAATAAACAACACCAAGAAGACACAGTATGCCCCAACACACTGGCCACCTTAGAAATACATCAGCACTGACTTCAAGACTCCTACAACCTCTTGGAAAATGGATAGCACATAAACCAACAGCCACACTTCACCAGTTACTCTCAAAGACGAAAAACCCCATGCCCACAATGAGCATGACAAATGTGATATGCAAAATACCATGCAGCAACTGTGAGAAACACTAGATAGGACAGACGGGCAGGAAACTCACCACCAGGATACACGAACAACAGCTCGCAGCAAAATGGCACGACCAACTCTCCCTCGTTTCAATACGCTGTGACATAGAAGGACATCAATGTGACTGGGACAAAGTCACAGTACTAGGACAAGTGAGACCAAGTCAAACACAAAAATTCCTGGAGGTCTGCTTTTCAACTACCGATGTGATAAACAGACATGTTGAAATAGTTTACATCTACATACCACTACAGTACAAAACTGCAAGCATGACTGCCCACCATGACAAATAGGACCATATAAATTCAGACCGGAACAGAACAACAGCGCCTCAGTAAAGGCTAGACGGCACTGTTGATGTCACCTAGAAGGGAGATGAAACATTTGCATGTAAACCAGTCAGCTCAGCGAACCAACCACAATCTCTAAACACAACCCGAGCTACAGATCTTCGTTAAAACATTAAACAAACTCTCTGGCACGTAGGTAGATGGTTATGATTGTTGGAAGTCAGTCATCTCAGTTCCAGCACACCTCTGCAGGAGTTCCTCAGGGTAGTGTCCTAGGCCCAACCATCTTTAGCTGCTTCATCAATGACCTCCCCTCCATCATAAGGTCAGAAGTGGGGATGTTCACTGATGACTGCACAATGTTCAGCACCATTCGCAATTCCTCAGATACTGAAGCAGTCCTCAGACACTGAACAAGATCTGGGCAGTATCCAGGCTTGGACTGACAAGTGGCAAGTAACATTTGTGCTACACAAATGCCAAGCTCTGACCATCATTAATAAGAGACAATCTAACTATCATCCCTTAACATTCAATAGTCTTAACATCACTGAATCCCCAACTATCAATATCTCGGGGGTTATTGTTGAGCAGAAACTGAACTGGACTCGCTACATAAACACAGTGGCTACACGAGCAGCTCAGAGGCTAGGAATACTGTGGCGAGTAATTCACTTCCTGACTCCCCAAAGTCTGACCGCCATCTACAAGGCACAAGTCAGGAGTGTGATGGAATACTCCCCACTTGCCTGGATGAGTGCAGCCCCAACAATGTTCAAGAAGCTTGACAACAGACAGGACAAAGCAGCCCACTTGATTGGCACCAAATCCACAAGCATCCACTCCCTCCACCACCCATTCTCAGTAGCAGCAGAGTATACTATCTACAAGATGTACTGGAGAAATTCGCGAAAGATCCACAGAGAGCATCTTCCAAACCCATGACCACTTC